TGTATGCCATCAGTTAAAAAAAAATATCGTATCAAAATGATGAATGAGTCGATCGATCCGAATTTTATACGAACCGCTTATATGAAAAACTCGTTTCGATTATCTTACATAATGGGGCTCATGATTTTTAGTATCTTTATTCTGCAGTTGCCATTATAGGCATATGTCGATTTAGACTGTCACTCTAATGCAGCTGCTATTGGATAAGTAATGTAATAAAGTTTACATTCATCCCAGTGCTGTAAGCGGTCTGTAATAATCGGCTGCCTTTGCTTCCGACATTTGCAAAACAAGCTATCAAAGTACAGTATCAAACTAAAATGTCATATGACAGTCTCTGTAATACGACACTGTCGCCGATGATAGTCAAGTATTTATGTATTTTAGTTTGTTTCATAATAAGAACTGCTAATGTTGCGCTTGTGTGAATTCTAAAAATATAACTAGCAACGATGTCCTAGTAATAACATTTCTGATAAGTACTAAGTTTTGATATTAAAATTTATAAATTGTGTGGAGCCCCTAAAATGCGGGCCTGTATGGATGGTAAATTGATATTATTATTACATTAAATGTACATGACTCAACAAGTAACATTGTATGTTTTATCGAGGTTTTAAAATATTCTACAAAGGCTAAATCATGGTCTATAGAACTCTCATAAAACCAAAGTTGTTATTTAGGTCGTTAACCCTTTTACTAGTTCTCATCGATCAGCGAGCTACAACTACAAATTCCACGGTCATTAACATTAAAAGATATAGTGCTCGTCTCCACCCTTGGCTTTATTACGTCCCTACTGGGACTTTACAATGGTTCTTAACTTAGTGTTCTTTGAGCTCTTCTACAGTTGTTAATTGAGAGCTTTCTTAGCCTGTACCATTTTTGCATTAGAATATATCGTGTGTCAAGTAGAATCATCTTGGAAAGTCCTAGACCTCACCGGAAATCGAACTTTGCCACCTCAAGCATGGTCTTGCTTTATACCTTTAAAAACTGAGCTACGAGAGGCATGTGCTAATTCAGTTTCGGATTATTTGATTCAAAATTTCGAATTTTTTTTTTAATTTTCTTAACCATTATGTGCGTGACGGGTTCCGGGTACCCAGCTCTCATTTGGATAACATTATGCGACATTAATGATTTCTATAATCATAGTTGTATTGTATTTGTCGAGTACCATTAAAAAGTCCTTTTCAATCAGCTATAGCACTCAGCGAAGTACATACCAGCAGGAAATCAACATCAATCAACCCACTGGAAAGTATGTCAATCCTACCATACTTTTTGTGTTTGCCGTGAACATTGATCAAACATGCTGTACGTTGTTGATGGAAAAGGTTTCATAATATGTAAAAAGACAACCGTAGGCTATTTTTATGCTAGTACATACTACCATATTACTGTACATTTCATACTTGATTGATTACTACGTAGGCGTAAGAATTGCTTGTGGAAAGTTTGCTTCTTTCCTCCTCTAGGCTTTTTACGTTTCTGTACCGCGCGTTTTTCCGGCTTTCAGCTTAGCGTTCTAGATGCATTTCCACAGTTATTAATTGAGAGCTTTCTGAGCGAACCAACCAAAAATGCATGAAATGGTATACTGTAGGGCAAGGCAAGCACAATGACACTCTATATGCCCTAAATTTCCGAGCTAAAAGATTTCCTTGATTGGATCGGGAATTGAATCCGCCGCCTCCGGTTTGGTAAAACCATGCCTCTACTGACTAGGAAATTGTAACGAGGTGGTATTGGTGGTACAGTACGATTTTGTCAGCCCCTTTTTTGTCAATCTTCTCTAATGTTCTACGAAACCCATGCGCTTTTTCTGTAGTCTTATTTCTCCAAATGATATCTTAAACATCCATCTTGATGATGGATGGGAAAGATTTGGAACTACGGTTATGCAAAATTATTGAAAGATAAAATTCTGATGCACGAAGGGGCTGATAAAATCGGGTCATTGCTGTATTACTTAGTAAACCTCAATTGTTTGACTTTTGATTTTGATTAGTTAGTTTTGTTCTTCATAGGGCAACCCTTTTACTAGTCAGCAAATTGCAAGGTAATTGAGCATGTCATGCTGAAGATGGTTGCTTCGAATGACAATAAATAAGCGCGTTTTCACTTTTTAAAAAGTGTGATAATAGTGCACATTTACGTCAAAATGTAATAGTTTTGTTGTCTTCGGTGCACTTATTCTTTATGAAGCAAGAAATACAGTAATGTTCCGATTTAGTCAGCCCCTCCACGCATCAGATTTTAAGTTTTTAATAATTTTACTTAGCTGTAATTCCAAATCATTCCCATTAATCTTCAAGATGGATGCTTAAGGTATATTTTGGTGCAATAAGACAACGAAAAAAAAAAACGCATGGGCTTCGTAAAAAATTAGAAAAGTTTTTCAAAAAGGGGGCTGACAAATCGGGTCATTACTTTAAGTGTTTAGAAGACAACAAAACGATTTAACGTAAACGTGCACATTCATCACACTTTTTGCATTTTTGGAGCAGTCAAGTTTTAGTTGCAACTAACAATAACAACGAGACCCTTTTTGTGCAGCCATGGTTTTTAAGCATAGATACAATACTATTGAGTTGATTTGTCTGTTATAGAAAGTTGTTTTTTGTTCTACACAGTAACAACAGTTGCTGAATATTGCATCAAAAGTGCTTCATATTGAAAAAAAAGCTAGATTTCTTATAGGCCACCGTTCAGTTTGATACATGTATTTGTGTATGTTTGTTCAATCTAACCCCCCACTGGCCGGCAGTGGTATTATGGATGAAATCTGCTTGCAATAATCCTTGATGTAACAGTTGAAAGCAGTATTAATCCGGGAGGTAGAAATTGATAGCTCTTCTGCATATCTAGCAACTCATTTCAGGATGCCTGGTAATTTGTCCTTTCCGAGGTCACTATCACTTACATGAATCCATGTTTTCATGTGGATAATGTACTGCAAACACACTTTAAGTTTCAAAATCCATCACGTATTTAGTAGTATTTGAAAAAAAGCATTTATATCTGTCTCACAATAGCAACCACAGATCGCGGAAAAAAAATGCAAATCATTTTTAATCGCACGCTGGATTATTGAATAAAAAAAATCAAAACTTATTTTTGTCTTATTGCGTATATTATCCCCAATGCAGAACGCCAATACCAAGAAACAAAAAAAAACTGGAGATCTCTTTTTGGGTTGGAGGTGGATGTCTTTCAATATTTACTGAGCACTCAGATGAAATTGCTGATAACTTCGGTTCTTTTTTTGTCAACAAAATCATTGCTTACCGAACTACTCGTCACATTTTTACTTAACCCGTAAAGTACCAGGACGAACGATTTTGTTTCAACAAACTCGTTCTCAGCAATGCCTCATCCGATTTTCATAAACTTGGATTTTTATTCAACGGGAATAGTTGAACTAACTTTTGCCGTTGGTACCACCCCCATAGAACTCTTCTCGTTGTTGGGAGATGTAGATATGTGATATGTCTGTGTTTATTTTGTACTTTTTTAACCAGTTTGACCAATTGTTTTAAATTTTCACGCTAATCGGTTGTCTGGTGCAGCAAATGATATCAGATAGCTGAGATATGATTAGTAAGAATGAATTTAGATATTTCTATAACGTATGGCCCCAAATTTTTTTTTTTTTTTTAATTCTTTATTTTAGAGATTTTTAGCCTGAGGCTAGTTCATCTCTTATGGCTACGATATTATCGGTTCCGGGAGTCCCGAAAATCGGTTCTGTAGGACATAGTAATATCTCAGACAAAAGTATCTTGTGGCATGTCAAATCATGTCCAATAGATAGAATCAAGTGAATGAAGATGAATCCGCTTCTTTTGATGTAGACGGTTTTGTGATTAATCTACCTAAAAGTGAGATCGAAAAAATATTTTTTTATTTGATTCAGATTGACTTAACGTCTTCAATAAATTTGTAGCAAATGTTATATTAAGCAACTTTGCAGCAAATTTCTAGCTCTTATAAATTGCGAGATATGTATCATTTTTTCGTGAAAGGCCCCTTTAAATCATGTTTTTAGTATAACTGATTTTCTAAGCATCCTACAATTTTGGTTTCTTCTACAACTATATAAAAGCATGTGTTTATGCTTTACAATGCTGAACATTGTAACTAATTATCTCTTGAAACAAAAAAGTTATTCTTAAATAATCGATATTTTTAGGGGTGGGCTCCTCAAATAACTATTTCCGGCGCAAATTGGCGCAAAATTCTAGGCAGAGTTCTAAATCTATACTTATTTTACTGCCGAAAAGTTATAAAAACATGTGGCAGCACGCGATCTTTTAGGTGTTTTTTTAATATTTAAAAAACTCCTGCAAATGTCTAATTTTTTAATACATATTTTAATTTAAAAAAATTCAATTGGATTTAACGTAAGCATTCTAAATAAAAATCCGATCCATCCCTGACTGTAGGTATTATTTTTGCATTCGTATGCAACTAGCAAGTAATGTACTAGATATGCCGCCCAGGAAAACCGAAATTTTTCCAGTCCACAAAATCCCTAAACTGGATCAGCAATATTATTAGATTGTCGTGAGTTAAAGTTTTACGTATCGTGCTCGTTTCTGCGACTTTGGATAGCTTACTGCGAAGGAAAATGATTCTGAAATGGAATCAACATTCAAGCAACGCAAATGTCATGAAACTGTTAGGTTTTCCACGCAGTCATTTTCCGGTAAATGTAAAGGATATGTTGAAGAAGGGTGAAGAATCTTATGAAATATGCATTGGACGGTGTACAAGTGTTCTTTGAAACGTTGGTAAATATTTGATTTTCTCATATACCTACCTTCGAAAAGTCAATGCGAAGTAACCATATCGGAGAACCTAAATTTGGAACGGGTGCGTGATATTAAATCTATATCTGTGGTCTTTATATAAGCGAATTTCTCTGAGAATCAAACACATAACAGCGTTAGTCAATTATTGATGATTTTCTTAAATTTTCTTCTGCCTTCTAGCATCCAGATTAATCCGCCGGCGAGTGCCTTGTGCAGGACATCTGATGACACCACGACGACTGTGGCTGAACAAAATTCCCACGCAGTGTGATGTGGTGATAGAGTTTCCAGGTAAGAGTAAACTGGGTGTTCATTCCCATTCGAAAAAAAAGGAATCCCATTGAAAAAACGTATGCTTTTATTTTCCTGTCTGTTCCGGTGCTCGCGGGGGTTACAGAGGATGCACCAGACGAAGCTCTAAGATGGCTGTTAAATAAGATTAAGGCAACCCCACCAGAAGGCTTAGGTTTATCGGCACTGGTGAGAGCACATGACAGTACAAAACGAACCGCTTTTTATGTCGCAGCTCCGATGAATGTGTAAGTTTCCCGTTGGGTTCACTTTCCAATTTTCCAGATAGACAGGTGTTAGGGCAGTGACGTTTGGTTGGTAGTTACATGTTTCATCGTTCGGCAAATGTGGGTGTGAGGGTGAGGGTTGTAAGCTTGTTTGGTGAAGGGTACAAATTTAACTTGGGCTCTGGTTGGTGATTACGGGTAGTCTTTTTATGATGTTTTCTCATCAACTAACCAGGTTGTTCAAAGCAGCAGAGGAAGCACGTCTACCGAAGCGACTTCGAACGGACCTCGGAGGGGCACTGAAGGAGTTTACCAAACGGGAAAGTCACTGTTTTGCCCAAACAAAAGACAGTGATGGTGCAAACACGTTGTTCACATCCCAGGAGCGACAATGGCTTGTACTACAGGTAAGAGAAACTAGGGTGGTTTTTATGGGGGATTTATTTAGTTTTGTTAATTATTTTATAGCACTGGAGTCTGATCTCATATGTAATCAATTGTTGCACAGCTAAGTACGCGTTATTTAACGATTCATGAAATATTTCCAAAGCTCATTTGCAATTTATATTCTTTAAAACTGTCACCATAATAAATCGTTTGAATGTGTCTATTTTTTTTTTTTTATATCTTCATTAAGGAGACTTTCAGCCGTTGGCTGGCTCGTCTCCGAGTGTCTAAAATTCTATTATTGCATTATTGATAGATGATAAGAAGAAGACCGTATTTCATTTTCCGTATGGTATTCAGTTCTTAATAAAAGTAGTAGTATACTTTTTTAAGTTTAAAACCTCAGCTTTCCGGTAGTGTGGATGAAATTACACACCAAGCATGTTTATGTAAAGTTACATTAGAATGAACACAACAATTGTAGATTTTTTTTTTTCACAAAATGATTCGTAAATAAAAAGTTCCTCTTATTTCTTCAAACCTATTTATGAGGAAATGAAATCTAAACATTGTCGCTACTTCTAGAGGTGATATTATCTGCGCTAACTTACGCTACCGTGAGAACACGTTATTTAAAATTATAATGTTTTTAACATGCATACCATCTTTAAAGATTGAAAATCTATTCCATCTGAAATATAACATGCGGATATCAAACCAAGAAATAAAATATGATCGATTGAAAGTCAAGATACGATGAAATGGGAGCTATATCCACATTTTTAGCTAAAAAAAATCATGGCTGAGCAAAGGTTAATGCTCCAACTGAAGAGTTAAGGATTGAAATATGCCCAAATATATATCTAGGGTATGAAAAAAAAAGGTTTAAGTGCCAATAATATTTTGGTCACCTTTTTGTATGAGACCTTCCCATAGTGCAACCATGGGAGGAAAATATTTATGAACCGTTGCATTAGGCGGGCCAAGCGTCTAAATACGATCCAGTTATTAGCTTAACATACAGCATGTTCGTCACCAAACATCGTTTGTAATTAACCTGTACATAATTTAACTGAAATTTTGAACAGCTTGTGAGTTCTAGTTTCATCTGACCAAGTTTGATTAAAATTGGTTCGTTCGAGAGAAAATTGAAAATTTTGTTTTTTTTTACAAAAACTACTAGGGGAAATGACGGCTTTGGCATGACAGACTATTTTCGGCAACCCAAATTGAAACACTATTTTCACTGGATTTTCTTACGAAAACACTTCGCTGAATGCATGCAAACGATTCTTTATGCTTTCAGCTTCAATTTGACTATATTTTTACCACTGAGAAAAAGCAATCTAGCAGGGTTTTCTTGAAATGAAACACACGCACTACAAATTGTAGCTGATTTCGAGTTGCCGATAATAGAACAGCAGATTTACATGCAGTTCAAATGGAACGGTTGCCGAAGAAAAACTGGTTGCCGACAATACTCGCTCTCACTAGAGAAGATTGGAGCTTTGTAAAAGCGTTTCAAAACAGTTTTTGACAATTCTTTCGACTGAAATTGTTAGAACAGCTGGCAGCAAAAGAGAAAAAAGGCTATAGAAAGAAGGTCGCTGCTTAGGTTGCCGAGAATACGTAAATTCCCCTAGATAGAATTGCAAAAAAATGCATCTTCTTCTTTTGGCTTTATTGCGTCCCTACTGGGACTTTACGCCGGCATTTTGTTCCAATATCACGCGTTAAATTGAGAGCGGAAAAATATCATTTGATTGATGATTTTGCCATCACTGATGCCTAGGGAAGTCGAGAAATTTTCCAACCCGACAAATTTCTTGACCGGATCGGTAATTGAAGCAAACCGGCTACAAAATGTTCTTGCTTTGTAGTTCCGTCTTTACGTACTCAAATTCATATATACACTCCCGATCATAAGTTTAAGGACACCCCCAAAAAACATGACAAATTTGTTAAAGGGTGATACGGTCAAAATTTGGTCAAGGAAAAACGCGTGTAAATCGGTGAAATCGTTTATTTAAAAAATCAAATTAAATTTCTTTTTCAAGTTCAATTAGTATAAAATTCAGGAAAAATATTCAGTTAGGCTTCCGCTTTTCCAAATCCGAATTGCCGGGCCTTACGCTTGACCCCTGCCATCAGATTTTGTACAGCCACCTTGTCCACCTTCTTCGCCGCAGAAAGCCAGTTTGCCTTGAACTGCTGCTCGCCCTTAGCAGTTTTTTTGGTCTTCTTTAGGTTCCGCTTGACAATAGCCCAGTATTTCTCAATTGGGCGGAGCTCTGGCGTGTTGGGAGGGTTCTTGTCCTTGGGAACCACCTGCACGTTGTTGGCGGCGTACCACTCCATGGCCTTTTTACCGTAATGGCAAGATGCCAAATCCGGCCAAAACAGTACGGAACAACCGTGTTTCTTCAGGAAAGGCAGCAGACGTTTATTCAAACACTCTTTCACGTAAATTTCTTGGTTGACAGTCCCGGAAGCTATGAAAATGCTGCTTTTCAAGCCACAGGCACAGATGGCTTGCCAAACCAGATATTTCTTTGCGAACTTTGACAGTTTCATGTGCTTGAAAACATCTGCTACCTTTCCCCTTCCTTTTGCCGTATAAAACTCCTGTCCCGGAAGCTGCTTGTAGTCGGCTTTGACGTAGGTTTCGTCGTCCATTACCACGCAGTCAAACTTCGTCAGCATCGTCGTGTACAGCCTCCGGGATCGCGCTTTGGCCGTCGTATTTTGTTTATCATCGCGATTTGGAGTCACTACCTTCTTGTAAGTCGATAGTCCGGCTCGTTTTTTGGCTCGATGCACGGTTGTAGACGATACACCCAGCTTATTTGCGGCATCTCGGAGAGAGAGGTTAGGGTTTCGCTTGAAATTACCGGCAACTCTCTTTGTCGTCTCAGCGGCTTCCGGTTTTCGATTTCCCCCCGATCCAGACTTCCTGGCTGTCGACAAACGTTCCCCAAACACTTTAATTACAATTGTAACGGTTGATTTGGCAACTTTTAGCGATTTTGCCAACTTTGCGTGCGAGTAGCTCGGATTTTCGCGATGCGCGAGCAAAATTTTGATACGCTGCTCTTCTTGCTTGGACGGCATTTTGACAACTGAAGAGTGAATTCCAAAATCAAAATAAGAGCAACATTCTACACACACACACACCTTCAAAATGAGGGGTGTTCAGGTTTTTTAAATGCAAAATTGAAAGAAATACGTCAAGTTGATATTGACCAAATTTTGACCGTATAACCCTTTATGTTCATATCTCTGTCATGTTACGTCCAATTTTCGTTCTCTGTAGATCATTTGAAAGGTATTGAGGTAAAATGAGAGATCATTGAACAAAACATATTTGCATGGTTTTTTGGGGGTGTCCTTAAACATATCATCGGTAGTGTATAGGTATGCCTTGATATAACGTAATTGTCACTTTTGACTTTCATCGTCGTTTTCTCGCAAATGGCCATTCAATCTCACAAAGTAAAAACACTCAATTTGTCACGAGACTTGCCAGGAAGCTTTCTTTGACGTAGAATATCGGTATATCATTTGCATTGGGATTCGGATCTTTGCTGTAACTGGAACTGACCAACGGTAGAGAAAGATTATGCTGCTGTCTACAACCTCAGTATTCTGCGATGAAAATGAAAATCAATGCACTCACACAGGATTTCCTTTAGTCTTAGTTTGCACTCATTGATCTGCTCCAAAATATCAACCATTTCAATAAATTTACGTGGAGTTTTCCCAAAAATTAACACAATAATTGATTTTTTGGTTCTTAACAGAATTATGCACACACTATTATACCGATTCAAAAGTTTTGGCAGATTCTCCACGAGTGATCAAAAATAACCGTTTGTTCAGTAATTTTATACAAATGGTCAATGACCAAATGATGAACATGCAGTAAAAATATCATGGCTACCGACGAAACAGTAATCAATATTACCGAAAATAGCAAACCACAGTAAACCATTTGATAATTTACTAGCCTTCTGTAACTCATATTACTGTTTCCGGTATAATGCCTTGTTCAGACTACAGAGTTATAACATGTTATAGCGCTATATTGATGGGGAATTCTGTGTTGCAATTATTTGAAAACCGTTATAACATGTTAAAACTATTGAGTCAGCGCTTAAAACTAAAAAAAGCCGATAGTGTTACAATTAATTAGTTTTGCTGGGCTAGTCCGCCAAAAAAAAAAAGAACCGAGTATCGAGTATGCGATTAAGTGTGTAATTTTAACCTGACAACTCGCACTTTATCGTAATTCAGATATGATCCATTAACAATTGACCGAAATACATTTGATAGTACCGACGATTAATCGAAAACTCATAGCGAGGAGAAAATATCCATGTCGACTTTCGTCTTGACACCTCTTGGGGTACAACTCGTTGTTATGTTCACCCTCCATCCGTTGTACACGGCGAATGAAAACGGCTCAGATTTGAGTTTAGTTCACTCATAATCGCCAAAAGTGCAGGTACGCAGCGATGAGTAAATTTGCCTTATGGTTTCCTGTGGAAAACCTAAAAAATCTGCCGGAAAATGAGGAAAATTGACGAAAACTTTATTCATACTAGGAGTAGTACCAATAGACTGAGTGAATCCAATCTTTACTTTTCTCATATCCGGGAAATGTGTCCTGGAAAAACCTGGAAAAACATGGAAAACATGAGGCAAATTTACTCATCGCTGAGTTCCTTAACTTTATGTTATTTATGAGTTAACTAAACTCAAATTAAGGTCGTTCTCATTCGCCGTGTAGACTAATCGACCAGCAATTCTTTGCTTAGACAGAAATAACGACCTTGCACTGCGAATGTGTTCCCTGAGTAGTCATAAAAAAGTATATTGTACACCATAAGCATCGTCTTGCTTTCAATGTCACACGCTCGCCATGTTTTATTGTGGTACATTACACCTTGTGCCGGTCAAATGCTTGGTTCATCAAATCGAAATGTCCACGAAGACATTTATTTTCTTTTTTCTGCTTCTCCTGCTTCCTTCCTATCTAAATAACTTGGTATCGAAAAGAAAGAAAAACCGAGGAGCATTCTATTTCCCACATTACCCACCGAAGATGGTAATTCATGAGTGTGTTTTTCCTTTTTGTTGCGCTCAAGTATCTGGGGCTCTTATTTTCAAGAGGATTTCCTTTCCATCATACACATGCATAAGTGATATTGGATCCGAAATGAAGCTACTGGTATCCTAAACAGCTGGAAATATGTTCTCTCAGCCTGAAGAGACCTTAGGTGTGAGTGTGTGTGTTTGTGTTCATTGGGTATTGTTTGCATGCCCGCCAACAGTCAGCGTGTACCATGTTTTGGAGACACCAGTATCGTAAAAAGAAGAGAAAAAACTGGAAGTGCTCTTGCATTTTTGAGCAAGCAATTTTGTTCTTATCTGGTCCGTTTGTCTTCAAATTTCCTTTTGTATCCTCTCAAACACAGGTACTGCAAGGACTGAGAGCCGGAGCTTCAGATCTAAAAGCACTACAAGGAAGGGCACAGGTCGAGGAAGGTCAGAGCATAGGTGAGTACGCGGTACAAATTTGTGGTTTCAATAGGAATGGGTTGAAGTGAGTCAACGTACCTAAATATTATGCACACCGATAGCGAGATTTTGTTTGCCAAATTGAAGACGTTTTCACCTTCGTCACTCGGTGTCACCATCCACATCGTCATCGTCATGTCCTCCTGAAGACGATGACGATGAGTGGGCGAAATGTGGTGGTCTTTACATTGAAGCACAAGATAAAACCGACATGGTTGTGACGAGCTGTAACGTTTCACACGTTGTTGACGGTTGGATGGCGATAAGCTTCAGTCAGTATTACTCTCGGATCAGTTCCCGATCGAGCATCGTGTCTTGGAGTGAATTCCGATTCGGAATTTATGATCACACGAAAATTTGTATACATTTATTTCATTTGATTGGGTCTTAAATTCAATTTGAGGGGAAGGCATCGACACCAGTTTCAACCGTTGAGTTTCTTATTGCCAGAAAATTTTATTTCCCTAAACAATATTTTTCATACCTATATGAATTTAATGGCATTTTATTTCACGTAGATCAAGCAACTCGTGAATCCGTAATTAAGGATAACTTTTTAGCTTGCAGTCCAGGGTACATTAATAAAGGTGACCTATAGCTAACGTCAGTATAATTTCATTGCAATTCGTAAGAAGCGGCAAAGTGTACATATGTCCCCTTTTATCCAACATGAGTTCACCATGTACATGGATCAACAAGTATTCTCCTCTCATTCACGTACCTGTCCATACATTTTGTCTGTGTATGTAGCTGTATATAATTGTTGCATATCCGAAGCAAACCAGAAAAAGTAGGTGATTCTAGTCATCCCTGCTGCAAAAAATATACATGCCTGTGTCAAAAATGAGGAAGCTAACACAGTGGAACTGGTGTTGGTCCTACAATGTACATGGTCACCCCCTGTTGCTATCGGTGCCGCAATTTGGAATATCGGCTAAGTATAGGCCTACAAAACGACCTATCGTGGCCTTCTTGAAAAACGTCTTCTTTATCGCAAATAAACCTTTTATGATTTTTGTCGATAATTCTATGGATGATAAAAACACAAAGGCTGCTCAATAGAAGTATTAAATTAAATATTTTTTTTCCTTGATTTGTTTTCCGTCGATCTTGTTTTCCGTGCTGAGCACCAATGCTACCGACGCCAGGGAGGCAGCTCCCACACCTGGACCCTACCTATCGAACCATCAACTTATGAACCGGGGACCAACGGCTTTACTTCCCTTCCGAAGGAAGGCGTGATCAGGGATGTTATGTCTCAGAACATCCCGGCGGCGCCGACTGGGATTGAACCCAGGCCTGCTGGGGTGGGAGGTGATCACGCTTACCACTACACCACCGGCGCCGCTAAATTAAATATTAGATTTTTTAAATATATGATGAAAGTTCAAATAGGTAGATTTCGACTTTTTCCCCCCATAACAATAAAATTTATTTAAAGCATTTTTTCGAAAAAAGCGTTTTTTTACTTCTCTCCCATACATCGCCGTATGGCAATCATCAAGACGTATTTCAAGATGGCAGCGGAAGGCCATGTTTTATAGGCCTATAGGTACCCGTCTTTCAAGGCGAAGAAAAACACAAGAAAAGCATTTAACCAAACACCGTATCGACCTTGGGTACCTATTTCGTGTCAAACTAGAACAGATATTTTGGGCGCCTAGTGGTGGTGCGGTAATATTACACGTGTGATATGAATAGGTACCGTAAAATGAGGTAACATTGATAGTTTTCTTTAAGTATTTATTATTTTATTATTTATATTTTTTTTTTTCCTTGATTTGTTTTCCGTCGATCTTGTTTTCCGTGCTGAGCACCAATGCTACCGACGCCAGGAAGGCAGCTCCCACACCTGGACCCTACTTATCGACCCATCAACTCATGAACCGGGGACCAACGGCTTTACTTCCCTTCCGAAGGAAGGCGTGATCAGAGATGTTATGCCTCAGAACATCCCGGCGGCGCCGACTGGGATTGAACCCAGGCCTGCTGGGGTGAGAGGTAATCACGCTTACCACTACACCACCGGCGCCGCTAAATTATTTATATTGTTGAATATATTTTTTTTTTTTTTTTTTTTAAACAAGTACTAAGGATACTAAAGTTAATTCGTTAGTACTATGTTTAATAGAAATTAAAGCATTTGCACATTTTTTTTTAGTTTTGTGACCGATCATCAGTATTTTGATTTAGGATTACTTTGATAATACTCGATGAATGTAGAAAAAATGCGTGAAACTCAAACAATTTAGTGCTTGAAACATGAAACTTTGAATGAGTATATATAATAATATATATATATATAAACATCATAAGCAATAAGAATTAAACATTGATTTTGTGATGGCTATATCTGAAATACATTTCATAAGAGATCAAACCATCATGTTTTTTCAAACAGGCGAAAAACACGAAAATTGTTTTTAATATGTTTTTTTTTTAAATATGTAACACATACTATATAAAAACTATATACGATATCAGCGGAAATACCCTAAGTTACAATATGGAACCAAAGTTTCTAATTCAGAAAAAGCGCAGAGAGTAAATTTAATCATTATATTATATTTTCAGTTACCCGCATTATCAAAGATACCCCGTTTTACGGTACCAATTTGCGCCACAGAAATATGTGACAGCCCCCTTGTGGTTTGAATGAGCGATCGAACGTGTACCAACAGTACCGCGAATGTAAAACTGGATTTAACCCTTAACGTCAATCAATAGCTGATCAATAATTCATTATTGTGAGTCGATGTTTTCAGTGGCATCGATGAAAAACTGGTTATACAATTGAAATTAAAATCATCAATCAAGATGGCCACTGGATTTTAACATTTCCGTTTTTCCAGGGTTTTGTTTCCGGTTGAATAGAAACCCAGCTAAATATGATACATTATTATTATCTTTTGCACCAAGGAATCCGGTCAGTAGTTGCAAGATTCAAATACCGGTCATGAAAACAGCAAAACTTAACAAAACATTGAGGTACTTAATTAGAAAATTCATTAGGCATCCTCTTGGATCCCCATATAAATTGTACATGTAACAGTAGGGTATTAGTTGTTGAACAAACTTACGTTGAGTTTAGCTGCTAATACCTGCTAACCTGCATGATACACCCCCTTAAAGATAGTGTTAAAACATTATAAATACGGATGTAAATACTTTAAACGAAAAGATAGCGATTTGCTTTACAGAGCAAAAATATGCATTTTCAGAGTACTTACAACTTTGAAAAAAAAATGTAAAATAAAAAAAAGGCATAAAAAATGGTTTTAAGGGTGCACTACAGTTTGTACTCCATTTTTACCCAATAACTTCATTCACTTGAGAGATAGAACATTATTTTCTTGGATAAAGTTTCTTAAAATGACTTCATTTACAATGTTTCCATAGATGTTCATCGATTTTAACAAGACATAAAAAAGTTATTTTTTTATCTTAGTGTATACCGCCCTTAATCAATTTTTTTCCACTCAAATAAAGTTTTCAAAAATTGAAGAAAATGCTACACTCAATAGTTTCGTCGCAAATAGCTGTGTCCCACTTTTTTTAATTTAGTCACACTGTGCGTTCACGCACGGGCTAACAGACACTTGAAATTCGTTAGGGGATGATCCATTAATTATGTTACACTCCAAAAAAGAGGGAAGGTTTTGAAATCTACGACAAACAATGTAGAAGATATAAAAAAACACCTAATTTAAATATGTTTTTTACTCCATAATAGATTACGCTAGCTATCGTGTAATTAATAACCATTCAACATCGAAGTTATTTAAGTTTTAATATGTATCGTAAGACGGGAGTGACATTGGGCCAACACTGAAAAATGTTTATTGATGCAAATATCTTGAATATACAGATAATGATGACTCGTAAGTAATAGCGAAGATTTTCAAAATAAACGCAATTCAAACGGCTGAAGCGCTACTCCTTGCGTGTGATGGTAAATGATAAAAACAAACACTGGTTGACACTAATCACATACAAAAAAAATCAGCGTAATAGGTTGAAGGACAGCCGAGAAACAGCGGTGGGTGGATGGTACCACTTACCGGATAAATGTAGGAATTACTGCATTGCATTGCATTACTGCGGATTGCATTGTGACATTAAAAAAGTTGTTCGAAGGGACAGAATCAGCGAATGAATGACATTTCTTATGAAAAAATTCTAAACTTTGTAAAGGAGAATCTCGAAATAGTTTTAAAGCCATAATAAACTATCAAACATTCATACAGCAAGAGTTTTTAATCAAAATAAACCGAATAGATTATTCAAATCAAACCTATCGAAACGTTCAGTAATGTTGACAGCTCATCAAAAAAAAAATATTTACGGATCGTTCGGTAGTCTTTTTGATTACCGAACGTTCAGCTGTTGAAAATTCGGTAAAAAATTGCCGAATACGGTAAAAATTTCTAAGTGTGTACGATACTTAGTTTGACCGCCAATGGATATGGCTTTGAATTCTCATGTGATTTGATGTATCGCTTGAAGGATTTTGATTTAAATAGGATTTACCACTTCCCCGGAGATACCCGGAACATGTTCGGGTGTGGCCTACATGGTGCTGGTCACTCATGACTCTTATTGATCTTATTTTTGAATTCTCATGTGAATTGATTTATCTCATGGTGGGTTTGGCACGTTTATGAAAAGCTCTGGTCTGATGGAGACCCATACTCACCGGAATATGTTCCGGCCTTTTCTCTGGAACCAGCGGAACAAATCCAGAAACATTCAATAACGTTCTATGGAACCATGGTATATATCTACTGTTCAATACTGTGCTTAACTAATGCAGCATTCATGGAATTGTGACTGACTTGCGGTTATTTTTCTCATTGACGTTAAGTGTAATCGCAAGTCAGTCCCACTCAGATTTTGGCCATAAAATAAAAATTTCACGATGTTTTTCCAATATATTTGGGTAAACATATATGCGTTCTATCACATTGTACGTTTATTTTTAAAATTATCCCTCCAAAATAAGTGTCAAATCAGAAAACTTGTAAAATCTTTGAACACCGTTTTTTTCATTTCCAGTTTTTTACAGATGGGACTGACCTACGATTATGGGCAGTGGAGTTCTAGCTACTTCATTAAATGCAAATCAAGCATTTCCGATCAAAGTATGCCATAAAAAACTAATATCTGTGTGTTTTTTCACTGAAAATCACTATTTTCTATTTACGCTCATGTAGTATTGCACAACTTTCCCTCCAATATTTTTACATGAAAATGTTTTTGAAACATGTAGAATATTCTAGAAATTTGTGTGTTTTAGTAATTGAAAAACTCTCTCCAGCATAGTATGCTGTAAAAAATTAATAAAAAAGTTATGAAAAAACGATTTTAGAGGGGTTTCTATGAAAAATGCTTCATATCTCAGCGAAAATGACAAATTATCAAGTTGATGTCTTCAGCAAGGTTTGTGGAAATGATTAGGCAATTTTCAAACAGAAGTTGAAGAAGAGTGGAAAGGTGACTCGGGGGATGCGACAGAGATGAAGAGATGGTGAAAAAAAAACGGCCGCTCCGGTTAGCGAACAGAGTGTCCAAAATATGATGAGTGGTATTCGAAGAAAAGTTCGAGATTTCATCAAAACCAAATTGGAATTTTGCTATTTTTTTTTAAAGTGCAATAAATGACCTTCATTTTGAGTAAAACGGGGTATCTTTGATAATCCGGGTAACTTTGAAAGTGTAATATAATGATTAAATTTACTCACTGCACTTTTTCCAAATTGGAAACATTGGTTCCATTGTAGCTTAGGGTATTACCTTTTATATCGTATAGAGTTTTTATATAGTTTGTGTTACATATTTTCCAAGCATATTAAAAAACAATTATCTTGTTTTTCGCCTGTTTGAAAAAGCACTTAAGGAATCACTTGTCTTTCCAATATAGACATCACAAATTCAATGTTGTCTTCTCATTGCTTATGATGTTTTCTGATTAAATACTCATTCATATTTCTTTCTTCATATTACTTTACTTCATATTTCTTGAACTAAATTGTTTGAGATTCACGCATGTTTTCTATATTCATCGAGCATTATCAAAGTAACCTCAAATCAAAATATTGATGTTTGGTCACAAGACTAAAAAAATAGTGTAAATGCAATAATTTTCGTTAAACATATTACTAACGAATGAACTCTGAGAACCTCAGTACTTTTTTAAAAAAAAAGTAAAATTTGAACAACATTCATTGCCCTAAAAAATGTTTAGAATATAATTTAAAGGCTATCAATGTTACCCCGTTTTAAGGTACTCAACATTTTTATTTTATTAAGATGGTTCCGAAATACATCCGTTTTTTTTGCGTGCAAATTCTAAATGACTCAAGCTTTAATTAACCGAGAAAAGTGTTCTGTTTGAAATCTGAATAGTAAAAAGTTTTCACTGAACTATGGCTCAACTTTGTGTAAGAATTTTTATCATCATGTTCATGATTACCGTTTAAGATTAGGGGAAATCCGGGTAAAACCAACACTGAGGGGTAATAGCGAAACCTCCCTTTGAATTTTTAGATTAGCTGCTTTTAACAAAGTGGTGTTTAGTAACCCCTATGCTTGTGATTTCTTCCGAACCACCCTATAGCTGCTGTTATCCTGTATCTTTCAAAATAAATAACAAATCAATTCAAGCTGAACAATGCATTAGATCCTAAGTAACATTGATCAATTCTATTCATCGACATTCTCTTTCGTTTAAAACTTGGATACAGAACCGTTTATTGTCATGTGTGTCCTATTAGAAGCTATAGCTAATAGCTTCTTTAAACGATCTGTGTGCTGAAAATAGCTCGGAATGACTTAACATGGCCGTGAGAATGCAAAGAGAAAGTCGGTCAGCATTGATCCAACCGTTGCTGTAAGATTTCGCTCTCGGGTTTTAACTGTTTCAGACTTTAATATTTTATAACCTTCGGTAATTGATGCGTGCCTAGATCATCATAAAACATTCTTTTGTGTATTCCGTACGAAGGTTGGTGATTTTTTAGTTTATTGACTCTCAAACAGTTTGCTAAAAGATGTTTAGTTCATTCGGTGTAAAATCGACACTTTCAGTCAGGGTAAAATCGACATTTGAAATATTGTTCAGAAACAGGATATGTCATATGTTTAATGCAAAATTGATGTACAGAGTGATTCGGAATAACTGTCACTTTTAAAAATGACCGTAGCGATTGAACGCTTGTATGATTTTTTAAAATCAGTATATTCCAGATATACTACACATATAACCTTCAACTTAGCATACTTTAATTCAAATCTCTCTCCCTTTACCCCTCCCTAAAAACACGAGACATCGACAAAATAAAGTAGATTTCTCGTTTTTTTTTTATCGAAAAATGTTCATTTGATATTTATATGGTGTCGATTTTACCCCAACTGGTGTTAATTTTACCCTGATAAGATTGTGTCGATCTCACCCACGCTCCCGATTGTTTCTTATTTTTTAAAAATCAAGTTTTATCAAAATATGTAATAGTAAGATCTGGTGGAATGGTGCATCTAGAGTCAAAGTAAGATTCTGTGACGTTAATAGGTCGATAAATTATGTACAAGCATTGCATACCTGTGGAAATCGTTAGGGTGTCGGTTTTAAACGGATTTCCCCTAAATATAAAAAAAATATCTAAACTTCTCAGAAAAGGAAAAACATACCACAAATGTAGTGTCTAGTCCAGGCCTGCTCAACCTTTCAACACTTACTTAAAAAAAAAGAAGCTGTATCTAAGTTCGATGCCCATGTTTCAAACTGCATTTTGTTTATTTCTCATTCATAATGAAGAATAACATTGGGCTCGAATGATATCATTGCTGAGAGCTAGAGCGCTGGTCTAGTCCCTTAAACTGTAGTTTTGAGTAATAAAGCTTAGAACCAATTAGCTCAAATCCCTTGACGTGTGACTGTTCTTGGGTTCTTTCTAAACAGTATTATCTCTCTGCACAATAGAAGTTTTAATTTATGTATGAATATGAAGCGAACGATTTGCACATTCGAAACGTTAAAGCCCAGTAAATTTATTAGTTTAAATTGTCATCGCCCTCCCGAGACTGAATCGTACAGCCCTCTGCCGAATTATATCTTACAGCATATACCTACTAATAGCAATAGTCCAGCCTTTATCATTCTCGTTTTCATTTCTTCCCTTTCCCAACAGTGGCTGCCTGGCAGGAGCTGGGTCTGATAACACAAGTGTTTCCTCTACACGAAACAAGCGCCTTACAACAGTTGCAGTCCAGTTGGGTCCGGAAGTTTTTTGCACCACAGCCGTTAGGTAATTACTGCAAAAGTGTCATACCGTCTTCTTTGCATGGCATCAACCTATATCATTTTCCCGAAGTCGGGAAGAAAAATTGCGTAATCTAATTTGTACTTTTTCTTCTTTCACTATTTTGCTTCCCAACGGCAGATGATATTGCGGCATACTTTGGAGTGAAAGTTGCTTTATATTTTGCCTGGTTGGGCCATTACACGTGCGCTCTGTGTGTTCCCGCTGTCCTGGGGACGATTCTATATGTTGGCCTGTGGGGACGCGGCCAGGTAGGTGTCGGCTAATAGCCTAAACAACTCGGAACAATCTCGGTGACGTAGGTTTAATTTTATTTCAGACGGCACAGGATATTGGTCATGTTATTTTCTCCTTGTTCAACGTGGCGTGGGCGTCTCTGTATCTGGAGGCCTGGAGACGCTATTCAGTCGAACTGGCCTTCCGATGGGGTACGCTTTCAACGCCACCGGAGCTACTGGAGCCACCAAGACCACTGTATAAAGTAAGCTTGCTATCCACATTGCACCAATTACTAATTCATACCACTAACGAACTGTCGCGCCGCTTCTCTCTGTTTGTGTTTCTACTTTGTTCCATTACGAAAAGGGTCCGTTGGAAGTAAGCACAGTAACAGGGCGACTAGAGCCTCGGGAAGCTCCAGCCTGGCAGCGACGTGCGTTTCGGTACCTAGTTAGTTTTCCAATTATTGGACTCTGCTTAGTGCTAGTATTTGTAGTGATGTTCCTAATGTTACGACTTCAGGTATTTATGCTCAGTCTACTATAAAGTTAATATTAACATAAACAGTGTCACGAATGACCATTTCACACGCGTAGTTGACTCATTTCCACCTACAGATGTAAACAGCAACAAACGCTATCACTGCTTGTTCTAATTTGTATCTTTACTTAGTCGAACTGTTAACATATTACTTTCGGAACCTATTGCCTAATATTGACACTAGATTTACCTGTAGGGACGATGCATAAATGTCGTAGCATTTTGGGGTGACCAGCCATGTGAAAAAATACGCTAAAAGAGGAGGGGGCCAAAGTTGGTGCTTTATGAAATGCAAACAAACGTTAAACGTCAATCGTTTGTTTACGTTTGATGAAACACCAATTTTGGACCCCCTACTCCTTGTAGCGTATTTTTCTACATGACTGGTCACTAGACTGATGCAAACTTTGACATTTTCGCTCCACACAGTACTCAAACGGTTTCCAATCGTGTCCTGATTAACCACCCAAAATTTGAACTAATTTGGTAAGAAACTGACATGGCACAAACCAAAAACCAAAAATGATAGCTATGCTTGTAGGAAATTTTCTCAGCTATAACTTTGTTCAAGGCCACTTTTCTAGGATGTTAGCATAAAAAGTTATTAATGATTCAAGCCACTGATGTCTTATGATTATGCTCAATCACCTGTTCAGCAGGCAACATTGGTGTTTCTGGCGCGTAGAATAGAAAACTATGTCATACTGCAGAATTCAGTATTGCCCACAAAACTACTTGATCATGCCATAATATTATCAATCTCTTAAACAATTGATAACTATTAAATTTGACGTTTGGCTGAAAAACTATATTCTGCAATGATGTAGCTAAGAAAATTTTCGATAAGAATAACTATAAAAAATTTTAACAGTACAATATGGACAATAATTAACAAAAAGTTTGGATTTTCCACATTAATGTCCATATAAACATCAAATGGTTTGTCCCAAGTCAGTTTCGTACCATATGAGTTCAAATTTTAGGAGGCTTATCAGGACCCGTTTTGGAACCGTTTGAGCACTGTGGAGCGAAAATACCAAATTTTGCATCAGTCTACTGGTCACCCTAAAATGGTACGTTACATGCTTTGTTGTTGTTGGTTTCGCTGTAATAATTTGTGGTGCTTACTTGTGTTTTGTTATTTATTGTTAAATATTATTTATGTTTCTACTATATTTAATTTTCTTATCAGTGCTTTGATTTCATTTATATTTTTTGTCATTTTGTTATTAATTCTTTTGATTATTCGATTTTTGTATCATATTGTAATTCAATTCGATTAACTTGTTTGTACAAAATTCACAATAATTTTTTAAAAGCTATTCCTAATCCCTGTATACATTTTTAAAGCCACCAGGTTTATTATCTCCCAAACTCCAAACACACGCACATTCGCAAACACACTGATCACATTTTTGTTTCTTTGATTTTCTCTAACACCGACACAACTTGCAGGATTGGCTCGATCAGCACTTACCAAATTCCAACGATGGCCTCTGGGATTGCATGTGCATGGCGTCGAAGGTCTGGTCAGCTTTAATTTTAAGTCTTACTAGCTATTCAAACCTGCTGCAGCCGTGTGCGAACCTGGCGGTTTCGATTTGATTAAATACATCCACCACACGTTTACGCGTAGTAATTATTATGCTTCGGTTGCGCTTCCACTGCCTTCCACCGATTCATCTTCATCATGACACAGTGCAAATTGGCGGAACAGAAAAACCTCTCTACCATCCTAGCGGTCCCTTATCCAATGCGAAACCGTTTAGCTCCTGAATTTTAATGATGAAGTGTCGACATCCGGTGGACTGTGTGACTATCATATAACATTAATTTGTCATGTTTTGCTAATATGTACGTACACAATTGCTCCTGCACCATCGTGTCCTTCTTGTTCCCTATGGCATGATGTAGAAAGGCTGAGATTTTTTTTAGCTGTGAAGTTCTTATATCCATCTCGTGGATCACCCACTAGTAGTAAAATTGGATTCTATGGTATACCCTGCAGTGTGCGTCCGACCATAGGGCCGAATGGTCATCAGACCGAATAGTTTCCACCTTAACCAGACACCCTGTGACTGGACTACGACCAGTAATTTGATCTATTGTAGTATATCCCGTGTCCTTAGTTTAGTGCATGTCGTATTCCTCCATCACTATTCAGAAATGATGAAGTATTCGGTTTTGATACAGTATTAATTCTTGCCTTCATCGCAAGGAATCGATTCTAATTGAAAGGTCCCGCTTATACTCTTCGAAGACTGAGAGTACCTTCAAAAGGCACGCCCCTTTGTCAGTCAAAATTGGATTGCTTAACAACAAAATTAAGCAATGGCACCGATAATGACCATGCATCAGAACCCTAGTCTTAACCACTTCAAACTATAGAACAACGAATAGAAGATTATCATATTCAGGTCAAAAAAAGTGAACAACAACCTAAAGAAATTAATCAGGGACTTAGTCGTTCAGTTTTTTCCCGAAAATTATTGTTTAACAAGCTACAATTAAATAAAAATGATTTTTCCCCATACAGTTTTACCTGCTTTACTACCTGTCCCCAGAGAGCCAAAAAATTCAAATTTGAGAGAGAAATTCTCTCTCACGAGCTAAATCTCTCAACATGCCATGTATTTTGTTGACACTCGATTTGTGATTACCCTTTCACAGATTACAAAATAGAGTACCTGACACTACAAAACATGTCTGGTAACTCTATATATGCATTTACTTTAACATTTGAAGTCCCTCCTTTTTTACATATTCTGCGCAAAAGATACTTTATGCCCCGCCCCATACATAAAAATCGGCGGGAAATTCTGTGAGGGGTGAGCTATTTTGTGTGCAGAATGTGTAAAAAAGGAGGGACTTCGAATAATAATCTAAATGCATATATAGAGGTACCAGACATGTTTTGCACTGCAGTGTCCTCTGTGAACAATTATAGGAAAACAGATTGTGTCTAGTTTCCGATAGATGTCACCGCAAACGACAGCTGTGACATCTGATGGAACATGAATGCAGAAGCTTGACAAAATGATTAATTGAAACTCGTATAACGAATTTAGAATCAAGAAGCAGTTTTAGATTTTAGACAATATCTCAACAATTTGTGACTCTTCATCAAATCCAACGGTACGTATGGAAAGGTGAATAAATTTGCAAGTCATCTTTGACATAAATATTCCGTTTTTTGTTTAAACTCGTTCAGAAAAGAGAGGTAAAGCGCGGGTTGTGCTTATTAGGACGGAAATTAAATCAAAAACCCTAGATATTTTTCCAAAACATGGATTTTTTTTGAAGAGCTTGAAATTTTTTCGGAATAGAAAAAAAGATTTGGCGGTTTGGCATCCATTTAAAATGCAATTTTTAATTATTTGTGAGACTTCCGATTTTTACTGTTTTGATGATTTCATGAATAAAATATATCATCACTATTATTATTCCTTCTTATAAAAGCTGCAAGTTCTTTTCTCACACTAATATACGTGTCTTTGATTTTTTATATCCACTGAACTTTCGAAGACTCAGGTTTGGAAATTTTATAAGCAATCAAAATGTAACATTTGTAGGTATTTTTCCTTCTTTTAATAAAGATCAATTCTTTTGAGTTTTATTGTTTTCGTGATGACTGGAACCATGAATAAAATAAACAATCATGCTTTTTCGTGCTTTTAAAAGCTACTCGTACTTCTCTCACACTAATCTATTTGACCAATTCCAGGCCAAAAAAGAAACATTTTTTTTAGTCGATCTTCTCCAATTTTCATGAACCTTTGCATAATTGTGTGAAATGGGTAACAATTCACATTTTTGAAAAAATCGCATTTTTTCTCAATATGGCATCTTTGACATTTTTAAATAGATTGTTGCACGAAGTGTCACTTCTGATCGGAATGACGTCTGAAACAAAGCTGTTTAGAAATATAAAATCTTTCTGGGAAAAATATACATGGTATTTTTTTTAGTAATTTTGAGTAAAAAAAAACACAAAGTTTAATAACTGTACTATTTCACAAAGTTTATCTTCAATAATTATTTTATTTTAAATAAAGCTCTAGAGAAATCCAAACTTTGGAATATTTAAAACCATGGGCACTTGAAAATTGACAGAAATCGTACACCCAACCGGGGGATGTAAGATTCGCTTACAATGTGGGATTCATCATCAGAGGATGTTAGTGAAGACCGCATGAACCGAGGATGCGATATACCTAGCTGCGGTCCAATGCAAGAAAATTTGAGACCGAAAAATGAAGAGTGTATTAGTGAGGTAAATTAGTTATGTGGAAAAAATAGAATTCAGATTGCCGTGACTGGACTCGAACCACGAACGTTGCGATTATCAGACCTGTGCTTTCTACACTGCTCTCTTCATGCTCCTAAATATGGATAGTCTAAAAGCAAACATGAAGCGCTCATTTTCTCGCATACTTGACTTCGTGTTTTTTTTTTCTGCTGGGGAGATTCGAGGCAAGTGTGTGCGTCGTTCGACAATGTTCTACAATGTGCGTCGTTCTACAAGCTTACTGCACGGCGAATGAGAACGACTCAAAATTGAGTTTAGCTCACTCATAATCGCCAAAATTGCAGGAACTCAGTGATGAGTAAAATTTGTCTCATGGTTTCCTGTGGAAAACCTAAAAAATCTGCCGGAAAATGAGGAAATTGACGAAAATTTTATTCAGTCTCGGAGTAGTACTAATAGACTGAGTGAATCCAATCTTTACTTTTCTCAAATTCGGGAATTTTTCCCTGGAAAATCCTGGAAAAAACTGGGAAAACATGAGGCAAATTAACTCATCGCTGAGTTCCTGCACTTTTGGCGATTATGAGTGAACTAAACTCAAATTTGAGTCGTTCTCATTCGCCGTGTGGTATAGTCGAAAGCGTAGATACACGGTAAGAAAAAAGTACCCAACGGCCAGTTCATTTTTACCTACTTTTGACTAGCTTGTCTCCTTTTCTCCTTCGAATGTTGTCAAAAACGGAGGGGCAAAACCACCCAACAGGGGTAGTAAAGTGTGGGAACCCAACGTTGAGTATAATCATATTTACCTACTGTTGGGTACTTACTTTTGGTTAAAAAGCCAGTGGAAAATTCCATACGAACTGCACACAAGTAAATGAAAATTACTTTGACCCGCTTTACCTACTTTTGGTTTCCTGCACTATAGTGCCGAGATGAGTGAAAAGAACTTAATTTTGGGTACTTTTTTCTAACCGTGTATCATCCTCTGTTCATGAACATCGCAACGAATGTCGATAACTAGAGGCGCTACAGTAATTAAAAAGAAGCGGCAAAATACTAACTGGAACAAACTTTAGTCCTGATTGCGTTTTCGTATCAATTTACGCTCCATTACGGGGATTACAATGGCGAATATTCGAATAGTTCTTTTTACCGGTTACCGATACGGTTAGATGTAATTAGATGGTAATGGATCACATCTTTCAAACAGTTCAACTTGGGAGAATGTGCTTATGTCTATTTTTTAATCATTAAGTTCAATAAAATTTAAATTAAACTACCCCACAAAAAACAGGCAGATGTGCCAATACATAAGCTGAAATGCTCAATAAAAAAATGTGGGCGCACGAAAAAAAGTAAAATTGCACCAGTGAATTTAAAAATATTCTCCTTAAAATAAGAGAAATGATCAATAAGAAAGATAAAATGTTCTCTAAGAAAAATATGAAATATTCCCTAGAAAATACTGAAATGTACCATAAAAAATATGATATGTGCCAATACAAAATTTGAATTGTTCTTTAAACTTGGGCGATTTATATGGAACATTTCATATTTTTTAGGGAGCATTTAATCTTTTTTTACTGTACTGCCCGTATTTTTTTTTAACTTTGAGGAACGGAGGACAGTTAGGCTTCCAAGAGAAGCTTATAATAACGGGTGTTCAATAAAAATGAGAATTTTTTCAGTCATATAGCTAGTTAAAAAAAAATTCAACGAATTCAGTATTTTTTATTAAAAACATAAGGTTTATTCTTCAAAAAACGTCAATGAATATTGGAGAAGGGGCCCTGGTCAGCCGTACAACGCAACTTAGTCGCGATGATCTCACAAGAGCGCTGGACAGCACTGAAATCATTCTCATTTTTTATTGAACACCCGTTAGAAAAAATGTTTCCTAAAAATGAATAACTAAAAAATTTGAATTGAGCCAATCACAAAATTGAAATATGCCAATAATGTTCCATTGAAATCACCGAAGTTTATAGAATATGTTTCTTATGCGTAGATTTCCTGTGTAATTTTTTAGTCACAGTGACGGGCTTGCGTCCAATAGAAGCTTCTAAAAGATGAAATGTTGCCTAAAAAAGATTGAATGTTCCTTAAAATATATGAAATGAGTTTATTGGCATAGAACAAATGTTTCATAAAAATCCCCAGAGTTTATGGAACATTTCCGTCTTTTTATTGGTGCATTTTATATTTTATTGGTACATTTACTATTTTTAAAGGAACAATTCTTCTTTATAAGGGAACGTTTCATCTATTTCTTGAAGCTTAGATTTACTGTCCTGCCCGTTTTTTTTTAGCAACGACGAGCAAGTTTCCAATAGAGGCTTCTTATACATTAAATGTTCCCTAAAAAGGATTAAATCACAGACAAACAGACGTAACTCTTCATTCTGGATATTCGTTCATCCATTTAACGATTGATTTGAATATTATTATTTCCGCCATCTACTAACCGCATCGGATCACTTTGACGTTTCTATGTATTCTGTTTATATTGCATGCAACATTATTTGCGACTTAGCGACCAAGCTTGTTTTCCGCGAGGAGCTCCTATTTTATATGGTACAAAACATACAAAAATTCATAAAGATGGCGGTTCCAAAAAATTAGGACGTGTTAGGATATAAGTATGGTTTAGACTTTTACTCAGGAAAGACCAATAATATTTTTAAATTGAATAAAATAACGATAAAGTATGATTAAAATCATCGAATTAAGAGTGCTTTCATTCTTTTGGGTTGTTAAAATAATTACTTTATGGAAATCTCAACATACCAGCACATACTATGGTTTTTACAGTGAAAAAAAAATCACCCAAACGAGGGGTAAGACAACGAGATATTGTTTTCAAATGTTCTAGAAAAATGTTTCGCAAGTAAATAAATACAAAAAAAGTATTTGACGGCAGTGTCGTAACATGCTTTAGTTAGGCAGTATACGACCGACATTGGGACAACATACCAAACTTCATCAAGAGGGTGGTACCACAAAATTAGGACGTGTTAGGGTATAAGATTGTTGGAGACTTTTTCTCAGAGGACCACGAGAAAGTCAAATAAAGTGAATTTTCTCAGTCCTAGAAAGTCTTGTTGAACAGTGTTATTGATTGTTTAGGGTGCATTTTATTGTTTTTATTGGTGCAAACTAGGGGCTACCGTTTTAAAAGACGCTCAAACGTTGCCGGGGAACAATATTTTGAGATATTTTTGTATAGAACCTTGATAAAATGAGCTCTTATTTATGCTCTCTCAACCCTCTCCCTCTGCAATTTATTGCCTCATTTTTCTAAAATCTCTGTAGACGGTGGTCCTAAAATTGCTCGACTATGTTATTAATTGAATGATACTATGTATTAGCACCCAGTAAACATTTTGGATTTAAAGTGCTCTTGTGGCCCAACAGGTAGAATTCTTTAAAAGCTCGATAAAACCTCCAGTATTGACTGGCCCAAATGTATATGGGAGATTTTATTTCCAACTTTTTCTACGGAGTATCCCGTAGAATTTTGTTTTTAGGATTGAAACCACTTTTCGAAAGCATCAGCTCATTTGGTTGTAATACGAGCTGGCGGTTTTGGTTAAATGTTCATATCAAGAGCCACATGTACCTTTGTAGGCCTTTTTCTCGCCAACCGAGGGTCACTCACGCAAATCAACAACATCATCGGGAAGGGGAAAATTTCTCCTACTCGGTGATGTTGATGGTTTGCGTTGGTGTCATATGGATGGCGAGAAAAGGGCCTACAAAGGTTTGTTTACAAAAAGCTTGACACCCCTTCACTTTTTCGATTATAGAATTTAGCATTTATTTAGCTCAGACAAGCTTAAACAATAAGAAACAACTGTGCTGAAGACTGCTTTACAATTAAAGTTAGTTTTAATGAGATATTTGCATGCAATTGTATGAGAATTTGCAAATATCTCAATAACACTAACTTGAATCGTGATTATTTATTTAGCCTACTATAAGCATCAAATATGCCAATATTTTTAAACTATTGGAACATGTTGATGTCCCTTGTGACGTTGTTTGCTGGATTTATCATTTTAATTTAGAGTGATTAACATTGAAATGGCAAATCAAATTGATCACTCAATCATAAGAAAGCAAAATTAAATCTACAGCCGTGTGACCAAAGGGCATGTGTTGAAAGATTATTAGAAAACTAATCCAATGATGGAATAACACGTGTTGCACCACAGTCCACCGGGTATAATAATGGAGCAATGTTTTGGCAACACACAGGTCATCATCATCGGACCTCCCAACAATCAACATAATGCATTCAAAATTTAGTGCTGCACATTTCATTTGCTATACAGTCATAAACCTCATCCCCCCATCTAACAACGCAACGAGTGGCCATCGTCATTGAATCTAAAATTCAATCGATATATTGAAAGCGCAAATCGCAATCACAGAACCAACTGTGGAAGTACAATTTGCTCTCTTTTCTGTCCTCTCCACTGCCATCCGCTTCCGGTGGATTCGCCCTCGGCAGGACTGGTGGGACGAGAAACTCCCCGAGCAGGGCATATTCAGTTGTTTGAGTGTGATACCAAAGGTCCTCCTGGCCGGCGCCATTACGCTGATGGACGAAGCGTACTACAAACTAGCCGTCTGGCTGAACGACAGAGGTGAGGCTTGATTCTTTTTATGGTTTGGTTCCATTTGGTTCATTTCACTCGTGGTTTAAAAAAAAAACGATGTAACATAGTGGCATTCTCTTGCAAACGATTAGAACTATTCCCACCGATGGTGAAATTCAGTGCATCCAATCAAGTGCTTTCTAGTCATTAACGGTTCCTTTTTTCTTTTCCAATAGAGAGTTATCGGCTTCAATCCAAGTACGAGAACCACCTAATCGCCAAAGTGGCACTGTTTCAGTTCGTCAACAGCTTTCTGTCGTTGTTCTACATTGCGTTCTATCTGCGCGATCAAGATAAGCTAAAGGAGGTAATTGAGATCACTCCAGTTTAAGTGGTTGTGAGTTTAATATTGGTTTTACACCTTCTTTCAAGCAACTGGCTGGTTTGCTCATATCGAGACAAATTATCGGTAATCTACGTGAGTCAGCTTGGCCATATCTGGTGGAACAGTGGAAGCTGGCCAAGTTGAGTTTTAAAATGTGGGGTGCCCTCAGTCCTACTCAAGAAGTTCCGCCATCCAGTGAGAGTAAGCAGTTGGGAGATAGCAAGAGTTCTTCGGATTGCACTACATCGACACCAAAACGATCAATCAATCAGGCAGAAATCGAGAGCTCTCTGTACAAGTATGATGGAACATTTTCCGATCACCTGGAAATGTTAGTTCAGATGGGATATGTTGTATTGTTCTCTTCAGCGTTTCCCCTAGCTGGACTGTGCGCTTTGGCCAACAATTTGTTGGAAATCAGATCCGATGCCTTCAAGCTAGCTCATGTACATCAGAGGCCATTTGGGCAACGAGTTGCTAATATCGGCACGTGGCAAAATGCCCTGGGAATGCTAGGTTTGGCAGCTGTGATAGTGAATTGTGCTCTTATTGGCCTATCCGGTCAAGTTTCGCGCCTTTGGCCTGGATTAACTTCAACACAAACCGTAATATTGATAGTTGCCCTTGAGCATGTAATGTTAGGACTACGGTCAGCCTTGACCTGGATACTACCAGAACTTCCATCCTGGCTAGCTGCCGAGATTGCTCGAGCAGAGCACTGTCGCCGGGAAATGCAATGTAAAGGGCCATCGCCGCGGCAGACGCCACCGTCTCCACCGTCGTCGACGTCGCTCTCCCATCACGACCAAGACTTCAACAGCAATCAGGATATCTTCGATAAAACCGAACAGTCCGTTGGCAGGTACTTGTATAGATTTTATGTGTTTAGCAATATCACCCAATAAACGTAGTGATTCTAAACGCTTCTTTCACAAACCAAGATTTCACGTCTCCTCTAGTCTCGATAATCAGGAAAACGATTTAGAACGGGTCACTCTAACGAACGTTGCGGCGAAACTGGACAACTTGACCAGTCAACAGAAACATCAACAACAGCATCAATCCCACCCACAAACACAGCACCAGCAACATCACCACAAAGAATTACTGAGCAGCAATGATAACATCGACATCTTTGCCACCGAAACCAGAGAGGTCACACCGGACTCACCGATTTCACAGGTATTTGATGAGTTTGTTCCCGCCCACCTGGCTTCCTTTTTCCTGGCAAGCATTTGATTTCCGATTTTCCTTGTTTTTTGGCCATTTTGCTCTTCACGGATTTTCCCTTCACTTTTAATGGTACCTTTTTCTCCACCACGGGATCGAAAAAAAAACGACAAAAACTTGCAAGCTGAGCTAAAGAAACCGAATTACGTTCGATGCCAATCTGTATACAACTGGTGATTAATTATGCAATCGGCACGGTCGTGATTGTGTTATGTTTCATTCTATTTGGTGCATGGGAGGAAAATGGGCTAAAATGCGTGAATAATAATTTTCTGCTCCATCTGTTTTGTTCTCATTTGTGAAGAATGAGTAATGAGGCAGAGCTTTCGGCAAATAACGAGTTCAGGCATTTTCGTTCTGTTTCATAAAATTGGGATCGAGTTTAGTCTCGCTCTTTTAGGTTTTAGGCAAATGTTTCATGTCAGCAATTTTTTATATGTTAAAGGTAAGAATTCAGTCTTTTGGTCTTATAGATTATGTATCAAGTAATGAGCGCTACTTATTATTAGTAGTAGAAGTTATTGTTACTATTTCTATAACGGTAAATCATGGTCTACAAGAATATAATAAAACCGAGATTATTACTTTGGCATAAGACGTAAGAACTCATTCGGACTCGTCCAGAAAGGCATTTGCGAACCGTTTAAAACTGAACGATTTTCATTATATTGAAGCAAATTTAAATCTCTTTAAAAAAAAATCATTTCAGAAATCTTAAGTAACAAACTAGTTTGTTGCTGGTGGCGTCAAAATGAGGGTTTATTGTGTTATAGGTAATTTAAGAAATGACATCCCTTTACTAATGGCAAAAATCAAGTAATAATCTTGGAATATTACTCAGAATTTCCTTAGTATACCCTTCTGAATAATCAAAGAAATCTCCTCAGTATTATCTGAGAGTTATCCTCAGAATCCCCATGTAAATTCCCTAGGAACTCTTGTAGTATACCCGAGCAAAGTCTGAGATCAAACTGAAATCTAAATTTGATGTTTTGATTTCGCTGATAATGATTACTCAGGTTGCTGTCGTTTTGGTCGTTTTAACGGTTAAAATATCAAAATTGAGAGCAAAAAAATCTTCCTGTGACATCACATTGAAAACTAATTCTGCTATCAGTGAGAGCAAACTGAAAACCAAATTTGATATCCATTTTTCCTGTTGATAGCAAAACAAGTATTCAATTTGATGTTATGCTAAGTCAATGAAAACAAACCCGCAACAACATATTTCTGGAGAGCAAATGTACAGCAAAATGAAAACAAAATAAGGTATCAAATTTGTCAATTGTCTAAACTGAAATCAAATTATGATTTCAGTTTGATGTTGATATCAAAACTTGATTTCAATTTGCTGTCATTTTGATGCTGTACTTTGCTCGGGTACCCCGTATCCTTAGTTTAGTGCATGTCGTATTACTCCATCACTATTAAGAAATGATGAAGTAGAGTAGAGTTGTCATTCTTGCATTTATCGTAAGGATCTGACTCTAATTGAAAGGTCCCGCTATTTATACCCTTTGGAGTGTTGAAATACCCTCCAAAGGCGCGCCCATTTGTCAGTCAAAATTAAATTCCTTAGCAACAAAATTAAGGAATGATACCGATAATGACCATGCATCAGAACCCTAGTCTTAACCACTTCAAACTAGAGATCAACGAATAGAAGATTAGGAATCACATAGATGAAGACTAACTAACTCATTTTTTCCTTGTTTCAAGATCATCCTCGGTGGACAAAGCCGTTGATCTTGTTGTCACTAACAACAAGGCATAAAAAGTAACATGGACTAAGATGTGTTCCTTTGATTACTGAAAAATCCTGTTCCCCTAGTTTGAAGTAGTCAGGACTAGGAATCGGTGGTAGATATTACAGCCCGCAACGTACCACGAAAGGGTGATCTACCCACGTTACGGGTCCTTCCTTAGTATCCCATATTCGATTATAACACTCCACAAAACTTGCATGAAATTTATTTATTTATTTATTTATTTATTTATGGGAACTCTCCCAAAAGTTATGGGATGTTCCATTGGAATATTTCTCGTAATTCCATAAAAAATATCCTCAGCATTGTATATTGACTTCGAATTACTTTGATAATATCCTCAGATTCAGATTCCGTTTGAATTGTAATCAGAATTCAAATGGAATTATTGTCAGGATGCTTTTGGTACTTTTTTCATAATTTTTCAGTGCACGGGGCAATAATACAGTGGGGGAAATTCGTTTAAACGCAATGTCATTTTTGCGTTTATTTTCAACACAAAAGATCGAGACAAAAAATCAAATATAGTTTGTCATAGCCCATCAGAAGTCTCGTATTTGAGAACACAATTTGATTGGAAGTTCATAATGACTTTTGAAAAAATCCCAAAAAAGGTGATTTTGGGGGGGAAATTCGTTTAAACGCACTTTTAGTTTTATTAATCAAATCGAGTTCACAGTTCAAAAATCAACAATAAACAATAGTTAATACTTCGTTTGCTTTCCGTTTTTTTGAATAGTTTCGAAAATTCTGTTCGGCATTGATTTCACCAGCTTCTGCAGAGTTGTATCAGGTATCAAGCTCCAGGCTTCTCTTACGGCTGACTCAAGTTCACGAACTGTTTTAAACTGCCTTCCGCCTTTGTAAACCTGTCGTGCCAGGATGCCCCACAAGTTCTCGATAGGATTTAGATCCGGACTACGAGCTGGCCAATCCAAAAGACTGATGTCTCGTTCAGAAAACCATTTCAAAGATTGCTTGCTGACATGAATTGCTGCATTATCCTGTTGAAATACGAAATTTTCCGGCATAACGTCTTCAGTAAACGGGATCAAAACATCTTCCAGAAGCTCCAAGTACTTTCCCGAATTCATCCTGGTTGAAATGGTGGCAATAGGGGTCTTTCCATGGATCGAAAAAGCGGCCCAACACATTAGAGTACCACCTCCAAAGTTCCTGCTCAACTTAACCTGCGGAGATTTCCTCAAATCGTGCCAATAATATGCGGTGCAGTCTGGGCCGTCCAAATTGAATTTCTTCTCGTCAGAAAAAATAACATTGTCCCATTCCGTAGTCCAAGACATGTATTTTTTAGCGAAATTCAATCTGGCGCTAATGTGGGCCGGTTGAAGATTGGGTTTTTTTGCTTTTTTGGTGTACTTTAAGTGGCCACTTCCATGTAGAATCTGCCGTACACGCCTCTTAGAAATGGAAAGCCCCATTTCTTGCTTGATTTGCGCAGCAGAGAAGTTTCCAGAGTCTCCCATTTGTATGATTTGGTTTCGGACACGGTTGGTGATCTTCGAATTTCCCTTTGTTTTCTTTTTTACGCCATACGTCTTGCCTTTTTTCAGCAGGTTCCTGATTGCTGCTTCCGATCTGTGGATCACACGTGCAATTTTGCGATTGCTCTCACCGCGACTTTTGAGTTCTCGAACCAGTATTTGCTCCGACTGGCTTAAATACTTTCCTTTACCCATTTTGCCGAAAACAAGCAACAACTACCGCGCAACGCAAATTTAAACTCGTGTTAATGGCGAACGAGGGCTATACAGTGTAAATATGACAGATGCGCAAGATAACAGGAGCATAGGTACGCTCAATGCGGCTTTACGTTAGTGTGCGTTTAAACGAATTTCCCCCCCAAAATCACCTTTTTTGGGATTTTTTCAAAAGTCATTATGAACTTCCAATCAAATTGTGTTCTCAAATACGAGACTTCTGATGGGCTATGACAAACTATATTTGATTTTTTGTCTCGATCTTTTGTGTTGAAAATAAACGCAAAAATGACATTGCGTTTAAACGAATTTCCCCCACTGTATTTAACTTATTTTACAAATCTTATGCCATGGCAATCTCATATTTATGGTACCAGTGCTTTCATCTTGTTTTCAATAATATCATGATTACCTGGGATTAATCGAACAATGTTAATATTATTGCTGTGTGCATCGAAGAATTTAACCACTTGTTTGATTTCCCTTGGAATACCGATCAATATGAATATCTTTGGAATTATCACTAGAATTATTTTCAGAATTCGCTTTGAAATTCCGTAAGAATTATCTAGGACTGTGGAGTTGGAGTAATTTTTTTTAAGTATCTGGAGTAAAAATTAAAGGTATTCTTATTAATGCAGCGGTAAAAAATCGAATGGAATGGAGAAGGGGAACAAAAGGTCAAATGTACAAAAGTTCGAATGGACAAAAAGTTGAATGGATAAATGGTCGAATGGACAAAATGTCGAATGATTCAAAGGATGAGATAGGAAGGATAGGATAGGGGACAAAAGGCCGAGTGAACACAAGGTTGAATGATGAGAAGGGGGAGAAAAGGTTGAATGGAAAAAAAATGATTCAAAGAGGGACATAAAGTGGAATGGTGGTACATTTAGATGGGAAACCCACTTGGTCAGATGCTAAATAATGATAATTATACTAGACAGATTTAAGAAACCATTACGTTGAATGTTAAATGACTAATCACAAAATCGATTTTTTTATGTTCTATGAAAGACCGAGCAGAGATAAAAAGGAGAAAAATAATGATTATGCAATCCAAGCTTAGCTCTGCAATAAACTTGTCAACCGATTGATTTAATACCAGCTAGAAAAAACTACAAGGGACAGTATCTGTTTATACTCTTTAGTATGATGGACTTGACAGCCCAAGTAACAATTCTGCAATGATTTGGCATCCACTCTGATTTATGATGGTTTTATAATGAGAATGAATGATCCATTTAGTTTAAATACAACATTTCACAGTGTAAAACGTTCCTGCTTAGTAGTTCATCTTTTCGCTGTTTTAAAAACCTTTTACAGTCTGGTGAGAAGTCAAAAACTGTCTTGTTTTAAAATTTAATTTAAAGTAGCTCTCAATCCCACCATAAAACTGTTCTATAAATCAATCATAAACTTCATTAGCGATTTTTTATGAATGTCTTGATAAAATACTCTATAA